ACATTTTGTCCAACTCAGCTTATTTATATCCTATTTCTACTCTGTGTGTGTGTGTGTGCGTGCGTGCGTGTGTGTGTGTGTGTGTGTGTGTGTGTGTGTTTTAAACACAACAACTTACAATAACAGTTTAGATTTTATGACAAACCTAGAGAATAGTAACTAAAATTTTGTTTTCGAGTACCTTTTTTTTTTTAACAATTTCATCTTTATTTTTTAATTTATTGAATTTATTGGAGTAACACTGCTTAATAAAATTATATTCAGGTATACAATTCTATAATACCTCATCTATGTATTGTATTGTGTGTTCACCACCCAAAGTCAAGTCTCCTTCCATCACCATTTTATGCCCCCTTCCCCTTCTTCTACATCTTTACACTCCCCACTTTTCCTCTGATAATTACCATACTCTTGTCTGTGTCTATGAGATTTTTTGTTTGTTTTTAAATATATTTTTATTGATTTCATAGAGAAAGGGAAAGGGAGAGAAACATCAATGATGAGAGAGAATCATTGATCAGCTGCCTCCTGCACACCCCACACTTGGCATTGAGTCCACAACCTGGGCATGTGCCCTGACCTGGAATTGAAATGGTTCATAGGTTGGGACCACTGAGTCAAGAAGCCAGATTGTTTGTTTTTGCTTAATCCCTTCACCCATCTCACCCAGCCCCCGAAGCCTCCTTCCTCATCTTTAGTATTCTTAAAGAAATGTTTCTTTGATGTATTTTCAGAGCTCCTGTCAAGTTCTTTTTTTACCTTTTCTTTTCTATTAGCCATGCTTAGGATAGTGTTTTAGTGATTTCTGTTAGGTTTTTCAATTCTCACCCACTCTTAAAAAGACACAACCGACATTTAAGATGTATATAAATCTAAGATATGTTCAAGTACAAATGCGGAGTGTCAGTGTCTAATTGGATTATTCAGACTTGTCTGTAGTAAGTATAATGTAGCATTTGGAGAATAGGCAATGCATGTACATTCAGCTGAATAATTGAACTATTAAACAACTGCATAATTAAGAGCTACAGAATGAATAGATTCTCTACAAGAATCTGTAGTACATTAAAATAATGATTTTGTAAGGCTTAAAGCCAATAAAGTCAGATTCCATTTAAATATGTGACTCCAACCACCTCCCAAAAGCAAAAAATTATGTGAAGATAATCACAGATGAGCTTTCTCTGGAGAAATATGTTAAAGACAACCTGATGGAATGAAGCTTTTTGATGATCCCCTTGACCCGGAATCCAGATTTCCAAAATTTTTTTGTCCAATCCACTGACAGCTCTAAGAGAGACACAAAAAAGAGAAAATCACACCCACAATAGCTCTCTGGATTACCTTTTTTTCCTTTTGTGTATGTTGTCAATGTGGTAGCATGACCATTTTCTTGAGATGGTAGCATGACCATTTTCTTGAGATCTTTACTTTGATAATTCAGAATTAGAGCAACTGGGCTTTCACAATTTCTGAATCCCATGTAAATAGGCCCTGTTATAGTGTCTGGAAGAGACAATACAGAAATTGAGTTGTGCTTCAATTTGTGGGGAAAATCTGCCATTTACTTTCTGTCCCTATGTTTGTTCACCTTACAGGGTAGGCCTGAAGGGGAATGTATCACTATCTGGACCAGCTTAGAACTTGACCCTTATTAAGTCATCACAAGACCAAGATATGGTCCAGAATGTCTCCACCACTCTTCTCTTGGTAGAATATGTCACATGACATTTTTAGTAATTGTTTTGGGAAAAGCAGTTTAAAACATGAGGAGAATACACACAGGGCTGCCTTTAAAAAAACTTATAATAGATGTTAGATAGATATTGCTGGGTTGAGCTTATTGTATGGTCAGAAATGCATCTTTTTTAAAAATAATTTTTTTTTCAATTACAGTTGACATATTATATTAGTTTCAGGTGTACACCCTGGTGATTAGACATTCTATAACTTTCTAAGTGATCTTCCAGATAAATCTCATACCCATCTGACACCATACATAATTATAGGAATATTATTGATTATATTCTCTATGCTGTACTCTACATACCCAAGACTATTCTGTAACAACCAATTTGCACCTCTTAATCCCTTCATCTTTTTCATCCATTCCCCCAAGTCCACTCCCATCTGGTAACTGTCAAAATGTTCTCTGTATCTATGAATCTATTTCTGTTCTGCTTGTTTGTTTATTTTGTTTTTTAGATTCAGTTGTCAATAAATATGTACTTTATTGCCATTTAATTATTCATATTTTTATCTTTTTTCTTCTTCTTCTTTAATAAGACCTTTTAACATTTCATGTAATACTCGTTTGGTGGTGATCTGGAGATAAGTCGTGGCATCTGTGGAAAGCCAGAGCTGAACATGACAGACTCATTTACACAGCCAGAGTGTATGTGCAGAACTGTCGGAATTTTATCTCTGCGATAGGGGAGAAGCATTTAAAAAAATGACAAAAACATTCATCATTTATGGCCCATTGTTCAATATTTGATGCATGAATACCATGCCTTTCTTTTATGTAAGGATGTCAAAATCTCCTCACTATCCACCCAATAAGAAATTTGAGTTGAGAACATCTTATCTGGTCATTTTTATAACCAGTGAAACAAATTTGCATGGAAGTTAAAAGTCAGGCCATTATTATTATTTTTTTTAAGTCATGCACCATTTTATGCTATTTCAGGATACAGAGTAGATGTGTTCTTGCTTTATACATAGTAGATGTTTGATAAGGAATCCTGATGGATGAAATTGGCTTTAAAAAATATCATACTATGTTTACATTGAGATCCTGATAATATATAAAATTTAGTACTAGTATTTGGAGACCTCTGAGTTTCAAAAGTTCAGAATCATACCATAAGAGTTAGACAGGAGACAGTATTAGGATTTTTTTCTGGATGATCAAGTTGTCTGATATTTTAAATTATTTTCCCCATGTGTTTCCCTTATAAACAGCAGGTTCCCATAGAATCCTTGCATGTCATGCACCAGATGGTCAGAGGACAGCAATGGAGTTCTTTAATCAAACTGCCCTTGATTTCTGCTGAAGTCATGTCAACAAAGGTTTATATTTAGAATGCAATGAAGAGCATTAAAACAAAAACAATAAAATCAAAAGTTGAAGGACTAGCTTTGTGATGACAGGAAATTAAGAATGTTTCATTTGTGCATTAATATAAAATATAAATTTTCTAATTGTAATTCGTATTTTATAAAAGGCAAGAAAATGCAAGGATTTTAATCATGGTTTGCAGGATGCAGTGATTCTGTATACTCTTAACAAAAAAGGAGGTTAAAAAGCTGCACATATACTGAGTATAGATAAACCAAATAGCTGAATATTTACTTAGGTTAGTAAGGAAAAAATTGGACATTTGGAGATTGAGTTTTTGTCTTACTATAAAAGTATACATTTATATTCCTGATCATATTAGCTGTATTAGAATTCATGAGATCCCGGGAGTGGTTTAACCCAACTGACACTATATTGAATTCAATACATTTTTTTCTTCTCCAACTCTAGAGATATGACAATAGATGTTGTAGTAAAATTCTTATATCTTTGAAACATTGTCACATTAAAAATGAATGAAATATCATAGTTTTTTTCAGTGACTTGCTGTAAGTTTTAATATTTCAGATAAAAGAAAATATATCTGGTAAGGGCTAATATCCAAAATATATAAAGAACTCATGCAAATCAATAGCAAAAGAAACAAACATTCCAATTAAAAAGTGGGTAGATGATCTGAAGACATTTTTATAAATAAATCATGCAGATGGCCAACAGGTGCATGGAAACATTCTAATTATCACTAAACATCAGGTACATGTAAATCAAAATCACAAAAAGATATCACCTCACACTTATTAGCATGACTATTATTAAAAAAGACAAGAAATAACTGTGGTGGTTGCCAGAGGGGAGAGAAATAAAATTCTACCCTGAAATACATGGTTCAGGAATATGGGAGGAGAGCTGGCCTCACGCACAAATAGAATCAAGTATTATCTTCGTATCTGGCCCTATACATTTTCTTTAAATCTTTAGAGCCCTTGATGGCATGATCTTGTCACTTCTCCCCTAATCACTGCCCACTACTCTGAATATACAGTTTGTTCATAGTCTCCCTGTCTTGCTCCTGATAAAATGTAGTTCCAGGAAAGTGTGTTATTAACTCATTGGCACTAAACTGTGTATGATATTTGAATTTTAATAGATGGTAAACCATGGAATAAATTTTCTGACATTTAAGAAATCAGCAGATTTTAGGAGTGGGGTCATTTAAAACCTCTGGAAAAAACTTACCAGTTGTCATCTACTATGTAAATAGGTAAAGTTGACTAAGAGTGATCAGAAGAAATTCAGAAATATATTTTTTCAAAGTGTTTATTATGTATAAATACATGTATTTTCATCTGTATCTATAAATACATACGTATTAAGGAAATCTTTAGAAGAAAAAGAAATTAATAAGTGATAAATTGGAGTACCACAGTAGTCATATTTATGAATTAGCATTTGATGTGTTGTTTTTTAATTTGATAAAGACTATATGTTCGCCCTGACCAGTTTTGCTCAGTGGTTAGAGCGTCGGCCTGAGGACTGAAGGTTCAATTCCGGTCAAGGGCATGTACCTTGGTTTGGTTGCAAGCACATCCCCAGGAGTGGGTGTGCAGGAGGCAGCTGATACATGTTTCTCTCTCATTGATGCTTCTAACTCTCTACCTTTCCTCTCTGTAAAAAAATCAATAAAATATGTTTTTTTTAAAAGACTATATGTTCAAGAAGCTACTGAAAAAAATAAGATGGAAGAACAAAATTCTTAGAAATTCAAAAACACTAATGGATTATTATTTATTTAAAAACAAATTTGATTGAATAAATAATTAGAAAATACTTTGAGTAATGATTTTGTTAATTCATTTTCATCTAGTGTGCATATCTTTATAATTTAACCCTCAAGCTTTTGTTTCTTTCTTCTACTCAGTGTTAAAGAACCCGGTGTGTAAATTATATAGATTTCCCACATCTGACAATAAGTGGATGCGAATCCGGGAGCAGATGTCAGAGAGCATACTTTCTTTTCATGTTCCTAAGGAATTGATCTCTCTTCACATAAAAGAAGATTTGTGTAGGTAAGAGAAAATAATTATGATTATCTTTTGCATTAATAATTCTTTTTTTTCTATAAAATATTTTTTCTCAAAGTATGATGATAACATGAAATTCTAGACCTGTTCAGTGTGGCGGCCATTAGCCCTGTGTGGCTCTTAATCCCTTAAAGTGTAACTAGTCCAAGTGAGATCTTATGTAAATGTAAAATACACAGCAGATTTTGAGTTTTTAGTACACAAACAAAAAACTGATTTCATAATAAGGATTAAATAAAAATATTATTTTTCACTTGCTGTAAATTATTTTTTGAATATGACTACTAGAAAATGTTTAATAACATATGTGACTCTCCTTTGTGGTGTGCATTATATTTCTATTAAATAGCTTGAAGTCCAGCCAATAACCTGAGCTTTGACCTTGCTAATAATCCCTGTGTCTTCACCTCATCTGTTTTTGGTTACAGTTCTGTAAAAAATTCCTCCTTGATTTTCTTTGAACTACTCATCTGTAACAAGACTCTCTGATATTTGTTGGTCTAAAAACTCAAGATGACTGATAAAATATGCTATGTGAATAGACAGTATTGTTGTACAACAAAATTAAATCCATTGCTATAATGAAACAAAAGGATGTGAGAGTGGGTAGTTGATGAGAATTTCTCTGAGCCGTGACTAATCAATTTGTTTCCTGCCTTATATGCCTCTAGTGACTTTAAAAATGCTGAATACTATATTATACTAAACACTGCTAAGGCCCCAAATCTCAGAAAATTAGCAAATATTTTTAATAGTTAACATTTTTTTAATTGCTGTAATACACAGCAGGGTGTGAAATGTTCAAAATTTGCATTTCTGCCTTATGTGCACATTAGTACATCAAGTTACTTAAGAGTATTGGTAGACTTTACAGTTTCTAGGGATGCATATTGACATAAACCAGTGAGCACACCATGAACAAGACTGGTTAAACCTGGCAGTATTGACAGTATCATCATGAGCCTCATAACATTTCAGTCAATGATGGACTGCATATACAACTGTGGTCCCATCTACACTAATAAAAGAGAAAGATGCAAATCGACCGTACCTTCATGATGCCCACCAGCCAATCAGGAATGAGTATGCAAATTAACCCAACAAAGATGGGTTATGCAGGCGCCAAGCAGCCAGGGGCCAGGCGGGACACTTGCATTGTCGCCATGGCAATGATACAGGCTTTCCACACTGCCCCAGCCGCTCTGGGCCTCTGGGCAGTGTGGGAAGGCAGAAAGGCAGTTCCGGCCGGAGTGAAGGCGGTGCCGGCAGCCAGGGGTAGGAAGGCCCATTCTTGCACGAATCTTCATGCATCGGGCCTCTAGTAAGATTATAATGGAGCTGAAAAATTCTTATTGCCCGCTTAATGATGTCACAGCAGTCAGAACATTGTACCCAGCACAAGGCATTACTCATGTGTTTGTGATGACACTGATGTAAACAAATACACTCTGTTGGCAGTCCTAGGAAAGTACAGCACTACAGTCCATAAGACTTGATGATATAATAAATGATTAGGCTACTGATTTATGTATTTACTATATTATACTTTTTAGTAGAGGCCCAGTGCATGAAATTCCTGCACTGATAGGGTCCCTAGTGGCTGCTGGCTGCCAGTCAGGGCCTCCCTTCGTTACACCCCTGGTGGTCAGTGCATGTCATAGCAAGTGATCGAACTCCCAGTCTGTCGAACTCCCGAGGGGACACTTTGCATATTGGGCTTTTATATATGTAGACTTTTGCTTTAGAGTCCACTCTTTCTACTTATTTTTTAAAATGCTATAAAACAACATGCCACGTTATGCTGAAAGCAACCTTTAAAGCAACCTCATACATCTCTTCTTTACTGTGTTTCTTGGTTGCATCATATTCTCTTGTGCTTGATTTAACCTTGTGTTGTTTTGAACAATAACATGCTATACAGGTTTGTAGCCTAGGAGCAATGGGCTAGATCACATAACTTAGGTGTGTAGCAACTATTCCATATATGTTTGTGCAAGTGCACTCTATAATTTTCACACAATGACCAAATCACCTACTGACACATTTCTCAGAATGCATGCATCCCTGTTGTTAAGTGGTACGTAATTGTATTTACTAGGGTAGGTAGGAATGGCTGCACAAATACTATGTATCCAAGTGAGTATCCAAGTGAGTAGAAAAGAAAAAGAAAACAGAACCTGAATTTTAGGGAAAGTCATACAGGAACCTGGATTATAAGAAAACTTCATGGTTCTAGGGAAATAACGATAGAAAGAGAGACAAGAAGGTGATATTTGAGAGTAGCCAAGTGAAGATAATCAACCACAGAAACCTGGCAAGAGCTATTGACTGAGGCCAAGAGTATCTGTGAGATGTACAGAAAGTTAAGCAAACTACTTATAGGAACCAGCTGTAAGAATGAATTAATATAAGCCACATGAATCAATCCTTATCCTCCTAGAGATAGTACTAAGAGTAGTTGGTGGGCAATGCAAATCCCAGGAAGAATAATCAAGATTACATGTTAAAGAAGCATGAGTTTGGATCTTTGAAGTCATAAAAGAATCAGACTATCAGACACTAAGAGCCACTCCAACCAGAGTCATGTAAAGGTCACATTTGATAGAGAAGGGATGGAGAGAATAATTGTTCCTCACAGGGGTTATAGAATGAGGAAGGACTCACCATAGACAAGCTGAGTTAGAGGTGTCAGGCAGAACCCAGCACCTTTATTTCAGCTGAGAACCACACAGGAACTACTCATCTGTAACAAGACTCTCAGGTAAAGCAGAGTCAAAGAAGTCAGGGCCAAGCCTTACCCTATAAAATGGACTTAATACTGCACCTACCTTAGCCAGTCCTAAATTCCCACTAAGATATCTATAAAGACACAGAATGGAAAATGATGAGCTTTCACAAAACACTGGAATCTATGATTAACATAATACTATATATAACATAATTGATGGACCACTAGTACCATTTCACCTAAAAATACAGCAAGCTAGTGAGAAAGAAAGCTAAGAGCCGGACCCCTACTGCTGCCCCAATCTGTCTTTTGTCATCAGTTTGGAAACCCCATAAAGGCTGAGCAGCGGACCTTCTAGTAGTTCTGAGGCCTCCCCAGTGCTCTCTCTAACTCCTTCCTGCACCCTACCCCCATTCATACCTCTCTGTCTGTCCAGTCACTGACAGTAAATCCCAGGGGGAGATGAGGAGTAGAAAATAAGGAGAAAGCAGCCACTAAGTCATGGAATTTGTGTATGCATAGCCTCTATAAGTATTACTTTTTAGCATACCACAAGTGTCGTCTACCCATGCTGTTCTCTTGCCTTTCTCTGTATCTCTTTCTTGCTATGCATTTGTAGCAAAAACAAAAATTGCAAACACATAGAAGGGGATAATGAGCAGTTTTGGTGGAGACAAAGGAACAATGCTTCCAAATTATAAAGTTCCCTTTCAAGGGGCAGAATTAGGGACTGTCAGTGTACACTGGCGGTTGCTCAGAAAAGAAAATCCCATTTCAATCCTATGAAACTAAAACTATAAAAACCTGATAGATTCTGAAGATTCGCTAGGCACTGTGAAGACCAGCCTATTCCATATACATTTTGGTTTCTCCAACCTTTTTGCTGTGTAAATCTCCCATTATTAGAATGTGTTTAAAATTTTAATAATGAATCTTGTGATTTTTATAAAGAAAAGGAGAAAAAAATCATGCTGCACTCAAAAAGGAAATACAAAAAAATGTGGGAAAATTGACTAGTCATCTCAGTAGAGTATGAGAAGGTGTGGTTGTTATGAAACAGGATGAGAAAGCCATAAGAAAAGAACCATCATCCTTTAGGGAGCATGCTGAGAAGGAAAGGATAATGTAGGGAATGATGGAATTTTAAATTGCAGCAGCCAAATTAAATCCACAGAGCCCGCAGAGAAGATTTGACACTGAGAAATCATCTCAGTAATGTGGAAGACAAACATGATAAGCTCCTCTCGAATGCAAACAAAGGTGAAAAAAAAAGTTTACATGGTGAGAAAGGTGTTAGATATTCAGGGCACAAAGCAGTCAACTACCAAATAATTTTAAGTGTTCTTTGGGAAGAACAATTAGTGCAAAAGCTTGAAAAACAAAACAAAACAATGAAAATTTATGCAGTTTTGTTTTTTTCTCTTTTACACTCTAAAATCAGGATAATCTTACACTTCTCTGTGGAAGCCCGTGGAATATCATCCACTGATATTTGAGAGAAAAAGGCTGTGACCCCACTTTATTATATAGGGTCAGGTTATGAATTTTTTATGAATGAAGGCAACGGAAATGGCATACTTATATACGCAGGAGCTCAGAGAATGTCACCCACAAAACTTTCTTGAAAATCTACTTGCAGCTATATGCCATCCAACTGAAAAAGTAATTTAAAAATTATACTTATAATGAATATAAGTGAATATAATAGAAAAATAAATATTATAATATAAAATTAACATGATGTGGCATAATATAATAAATTAAATTAAGAATGTGAGACTGGGACATTGCCTTGCAAAAGGACTTTGCCACATTTTTCTTGGTTGGGTGGAACCTCCAGTCTGGACAGAGCTTTACTCTGAAGTTCTTTTCTCAGCCTCTTTTAACCCTTGTCTGTTCAGATCCCTAAAATCATTTTACTTGCCTCAACCCCCCTCCCACCCCCACCCCCACTTTCTCGCAAACCCATTTATTTTTTTACATTTTCATTTCATCTACTCTAATCCCATGCTTTCCAGCCTGTGATAATGCAACAGTCCACTCATGACTTTTCTGCCAATGGCCTAACTTGCATGGAATCTGTGGCTCAGGTTACAGAGTCACACAATCTGATTGAAAATGTTATAAAATGAAGATTTCCCGAAGGAGCTTTCTGGAGACAGGCTTGAAAAACTGTACTTGTGTGTTTGGAAGGGAAGAGGGGAGGTTCTGCTTGCAAAGTA